TGTCCACCGCCAGGAACATCTGCCCATTTGTTCCTAGATTAATGTAGATGAAGCCTACCGCAAATAAGGTTGTCAGATCTCAGGGTCGGACCCAAAGTTTCAAGGTTTTATTTCCTTTTCATTGTTTGTGAGGTCAGGGATTTAACTTATCTAATGTCTCATAGTGATAGAGAGTGTTGGACTGGATGGGCCTTTGGCCGGATCCAACGTTGGCATCTCTTATGTTCTTATGTTCTTAACTCTGAGAACATTATGGGACCTACTTATCTCGATTAAAATCCTGTCTATATGAAGCTACAAGGAAGGACAATATTCTGCCTTTGGTATATTTTCCCATATTGGATTCCCCATTCCAGTGCTGAGCCTTTACTTTGGCCCGTTTAAATGTTTTCCATCGGTAGTCCTTTTTGGTAGATTTAGGCAAATACCTTCTCAAAACAGGTTTTGTCCATGTGAATTAGGTACTCTTGATTCCTTATCCCATCTCATTTTAGAGTGTCCCCCTCCTTGCTTTACAATGTAAACAATTCCTGCCTAAATACCTCCAGCATAGTGTCTTCGTTAAGGGAAACAGTTTAATTTATCTTTTAGAAGATGTCAAATCACTACATGTGTGGCCAAAGTTTTAGCTGAAGCTTATAAAGTTAAGTCCAAACACATCACTGTGTCTTAACTGTTGCACGCCTATTTTTCCTATTTGTTTCTGATGTTTTATTGATTTAAATACATACTTGATCTGTATTATTGGTCACTATCTTAATTAACTGTTTTATGACTCTGTTCTTATCATCTATCAGACCTTTGTATTTATTCTTGATTGTAATTTATCAGCATCTTTTATGCCAATAAAGGTCAAAATGGAATGACAATAGTCTGCTTCTATAGTACACAGCAACTGACTGGTTAATTTGAAATGTGTGTTATCAGGCATTTGTACTGGTACGTTTTCTTTTCCCTCTGTATGTAATGTCTCATAGTGATGTTTTACGTCTGCTTTAAATAATGCCAGTAAAGCTTTTAAAAACTAGATAATTTACTACTAATAATTTA